AAGGTGCTTCTAGCTCTCCTACACTGGCTTGGCACATTCATGCATGCAAAGCAAGGAGGTTTTGAGGGCTTCACCAAACAGTTAATTTTGGCAAAAAGAGAAAACAAACAAAAAGCTAAAATTGATAAGCAGAATTAAAAGCCACTGAAGTGAAAATGATGTACTTTCTCAACAGTATGGAGTTAGACTACCACTACGATTTTTTTTTTTTTTTTTAAGTCTCTGCCATCCTTTCCCTCAATTCAGGTCAAAGTTCATAGCAGCAATGCACAGTCTTCTGTCAAGCCAGTGTTCTCCGCTCCAGGGTCAGAGTTCACAGGTCCAGTTCAATCTGTCCGAAGAATCATGGGAGGGTGCTCACTATCTTCATCCAGGCGAAGGGCGCTTGTCTCATCCTCCAGGCAAGCGCCACCCACTGCACCCAGATCATCTGTATAAGCTGCAAAGAGACAGTGAAGTCATCCTCAGGGAAACTGGAACAAAATGCAGATCCCAGAGACACCAACTGGAGGCTGGACTCTGGAAGCATCAGTTTTTTCAACTGCAGCCTATGTTAACTCTTCCTTCTTTCCTTCTTCCCTCCCTCCCTCTCTATTTAAGAGGTTTTTGTCCTAGGGTGCGTGCACTTGCCAGAGAGGGAAAGACAGATACAATGAGAGGGTAAGTGAGGAATCAATCACCCCTAGGAGGGATACCACACTGTAATCCCTTCTCCTCCATTCTCTACCTGGAATCTTGGGCATGCATGCACACGTGCCTGGCATGATTTTCAAGCCACTGGGTCCGGGATTCGGAGTCGAACGGCGTTTGGCCATGTGGGAGACCAGCAATGTAACTGCTATGCCATCTGCTGGTCCCACAGATTATAAATTTTAATCACTTTCCTGATTAACGAGGTCTTTGCAGCCTTCGGCAGCTCAAAAATGAAGTCGTGTTATTTTTCAAAATTCATAAATGTCAAACTAATATATGCACAGCAAGCAGGGGCTTACTGATAGGCTCCATTTTTTAAAAAAATAATTATTTTATTTAACTTTATTATTAAATTTGACCAGAGAAAGACAGAGAGAGAGAGGGAAAGTGAGAAGCAAGCTGCCAGGTCTGGGACTCAAACTGTGGTCGGCCATATGGGAGGCCAGCGTCCTTAACTACCACGCCACCTGCCAACCCCAGGTTGCATTTGTTTTTTCTTTAGTGAGAAGGGCAATTTCATTTGAAAGAATAATAAACCACAAAATCACTCACGTGGGTTCAGTTTACTATTATTATTATTTTTTTTTTTGGAGAGATTTTTGCTAAAGGGCATGTGTGCTCGCCAGAAAGACAGAGAAAGAGACAGAAAGTGAAAAACCATCCCCCAGGGGGATGGTCATGCTAAATTTCTTCTCCTCCATTCTCCTCTCGGGATCTTGGGCACACACGCAAACATGCCTGGTGTGAGTTTAAGCCACCAGGTCCTGGAATCGAACCATGATCAACCACTGGACATGGGAGTCCAGTGACATAACCATTATACCAACTGCTGTCTCAGCTTGGTTTTTCTGAGAAAAATGGTTTCTATGGAATGTGATGGGCACAAACTCAAATTTGTCCATGTGGTAACAGACCAGTATCTATAGCCAGAGGGAGCCCTATCGACACTGCAGCCCTCACACCTCAGGGTCCCTAGGGAGAAGATGGTATTCTGCCTAAATCTGCTGAATGCTTAAACAGGTGGGAGGGTGAAGACCAAGAACAAACATGTGGCAGTGTTTCTTAGGGTACTATTGATATTTTAGGTGAGAGATGGCAAGTTGAGGCACAATTCACGGGCACAGTAGCCTGAGCCATGATAACTATTTTTTCTTCAAAAAGGAGACAATGAATTCAGTCTTGAGAGGCTCTGAAAACACAAGTTCATGAGAGCTTGCCACTGATCTGGGAATGATCATTTCCCTTTCCCAGTGGAAAGTGGGGGGTGGACAACTCTGGTGAAAATACCAAGTTGAGACCCACACGGAGGTCACCAGCATGAGTGACCCTTTAGATTGCGTCATGTCCCTTACCAAGTCTTGTTGGAGAGGAAGGCACGTAAGTACCTTTTGCTACAGCTGTGCCATATGTCTGAGTTGCTAAGGGACAGTCGTGAGAGGCAGAGTCCAGGATTTCACTGGCTGTCTCCATGCTGCCGTCTAACCTGGAGAAAGGAGAGAATGACAGAACAAAACCCAGAGTTGGTGGAAAGGGCAGCTGGGTGCAATCACAGCTCCGCTCCCGGGCCTGCTGTGCCAGCCTTCAGCAGAAGCACCAGGTCACTCGCCAGTCAGAGAACTAAGTGGTTGTCACACTCTGGTACTTTAAAATAATTCTTGTGTGTATCTGTTCACTCAGATTTTTACATGAAAAGCCTGGTGCAGAAAATCAGACCTAGTGAGGTGACCTTATTCCATTTTTAAGATGGGGATGATCAATAAAATTCACTATGAAAAATAATCTCCACTTCCACCCAATTATAAAAGTATTATACTATCTTACTACAACTTAAAAAAAAATAAAGTGTAAGAGAAAATCAAATTACACTAGTTCCCAATGAACAAATTTCCTCTTTTCAAAGAGAAAAACTGTATCTCACAGTGAGACAATAGGTTCTCAAAAAATGTGAGAGACACTATGCTGAGTCCTTCACTCCTTTGAAAACGGTGCTCTCCACACTCAGGAACAAGACCCGATGCTACACTCCTTTCTCCACAGGCTACTTCTCTCCAGGCCCCGTCACTGAGCTGAGTCCACAGTCAGGTGCGGGAGAGCGGGAGCCTGCTGCTGACACTACTTCCTGTCAGGATAGAATCACTCCTAGAAAGAGCAGCTCCTGAATGGAATGGGCCAGTCACAGTGGACTCCATCCCTCATGGCACTGGTTTCAAGGACAAGAACAAGCACATAAGAGGCGCACAATTGCCTGACATGAGTACAGAGAGGTGCAGAAAAGCTGGCAGCCAGCAGAGCAGACTCACTTGTGCTGCTTCATCAGGGTGCACTCGCCTCCTTCCTGTGGGTCCAGGTTGTACATGTACAAGTACCCATCAGAAGCTCCCACCAGTAACCGGGGAATCTTCTGAATTCTAGGAAAAAGAAAAAGCACCCAATTCTAGGACCACAACCTCTGCAAAAAGTAACTTATTGAACAAGCAGCCTTACTTTTGGCAGGACTAGAAAGAAATCCTGCCAAAATAAGCACAGGTTGTTTCACACACGACATACTACCTGCATGTAAGAGGACAATACCATGCACACAGTGCTGCTTGGGGCTCAGAATATCAAGGCTAAGGATGTACTTAGTGCAGATGAGTATGGAATCCCAAACAAGAACAGGGCAGAACATCGGTTTCGTGTCTTCTCAGATTACTAGGGGTAGGTATTTTTGTAGAACTTATTCAACTATACTACTAGTCTGAGAACAAGGATGGGAAATAACATTTATAAGACTCAGAATCACAAAGATCCTCTATCACTGGATTCTTTATTTTAAAAAAGAATTATTTAATTAAAATAATCATCATTTAAAAAAATCTGCTACAGGGCACGTGTGCTCACCAGAGAGTGAGAGAGAGGGATGAGAAAAGTGAGAAAGCAAGCTGCCAGGTCTGGGACTCGAACTGTGGTTGGCCACGTGGGAGTCCAGCACCTTAACCACCACACCACCTGCCAGCCCATATCACTTGATTCTAAAGGCAGCAATGCTTATAGGAGTCAGTGAAGTTCTTAAGATACCCCATGCTACAGAAAGAGTCTCAAACTCTGTAACTGCTGTTTTTATAGGCCCTTACAGGTCAAATATTGGCAAGCTCATGTGGTTTGACTTAATATTTTTCATTAACCTTAGATATTCTCAACAAAAAAAGATCCAGGATGATGCTTTAGAATTAGGACACTACAGAGAAAGTATTCAAGTCTGTATCTGTGGCAGTTCGCTTTATAGTTCCTTCCATTCATGTAACTCTAGATTAAATCACGGTGCTGAGCTGGTGGATTATTCCAGGGTCAGGAGACACTGGAGGGATCACACATCATTCCCGGTGCTCTCCAACGAGCTGCCCTGACCCACTTCTTTGGTGGGATGTACATGGGCAGAAGGGAAGGGAGGAGCGTGCCCATTCCTACTCACGTGGCGAGCGAGCAGATGTTTTTATGGCCACAGAATGGCAGGCGGACTGTGGCGAAGGCTCTGCCCTGGTTGAACATTTCTGTCACCTGAGAAGGCAGGTAGCTGGTGGATGCCATGAGTACCTTCCCAAAGTACCCGGTCCAGGTGGTGGGTTCTTCTGGTGGTCTAGAAGGAAATGCCATGAGACCCATGAAGCTGGATTACTCACTTAAGAGTCAGCAGGCCCCATACACACAAACAGCCCTGAAACTGAAAGGGAAATTGTCCATACTTCAAGGAAAAGAGGGCTGGAGAAAACACCTGACGCCTGAGGCCCTGAGAAGGTTAGGGAGTGTCCCCTGGGAAGGGTCACAGGAGGGGGGCTCTCAGGCTCTAGAACAGTTTCAAGCAAGGAGCTAGTCACATTACAGCAGACAATTGGGACTCCCTCCCCTCACAGCAAATGTGAGGATGTTTAGGGCCAAACTGATGAGTTGCTGTTAAGTCTTTCTAACATGAAGTCTCCCAAAACTTGAGTATAAATGTCAAACCATTCTTTCCTGTAGCCTATTTTTGTTACTGCTTCATCATACATGTCTTGCAAGTTATCTTACATCTTAGAGTAAGACACCAGAGAAACAAAAGACACTGATCCTAGTGGGATGTATTGTACTGTATTGTATTTCAAAGTTTCATGAGAGAAAACCTAAGAGGACCCCCCATCCCGGCACACACACACACACACACACAAACCTTACTTATGCACTGATACCTGATTTAACTGCTTTAAGAGTGGGAAGCACCTGTTACTCTGCTCCCCTCTGGGCAGGTGAGCTCTGTGCTCTCACTGTGCAGCCCAATCATTGCTGTGCTTCCAGCGGGTGAGGACAGGTGTGGGCCCTGACAGCAGCCATGCACCTGGACCCCTCAGGCCCTCACATGCTTGGCCTTACTCTCTGGCTCTTTGACTTCAAGGCCACTGTCTGAACATAGCCCACATCACAGCCAAGCCTGCATGTAGTGTGCTCATCCAGAGTCAGTTCCTGGGTCTCCATGGCAAATAGTGCCCAAGGGCAGGGCAGGATAGTGTTTATGTTTGTATCCGGGCAATCAGTGGGGTCATCAAAAAAACAAACATCTTTGCAACAACTCACTTTTCTTTCACAGTCTCGAGTTTGAAGATGTGCACAGTCTCAGTGTTGCTGGACGCAGAGAGAAACATGCCATCCATGCTGAAGGCCAATGAGCAGATACTCACGCACCTGGGGGTTTCAGAAAGCATGTCAGGGGGGCCTAAGAGTCTCTGTCACTGTGAACACAGGCGAGCAAAGCCAGGAACATTTCTCCAGGGACCTCTAATTAAAGTTACAGAAGAAAGTCCCATCATAGGTATCCCTGGGTCTACCGATGTAATTTTATTCCTCTCCAAATATCTTTCCAAAAATTTTCTTAAGAGGAACAAATGTCTGAAATGTAATAGAAAGTATGAACAAATTTTAACAAATTATTGAATAGCCAATTTTTCTGATTCCAAATCACAAAGGAAATCAGGATTTCACTGACTCATGGTTAGCTGAATTAGGATGGATTTATAGCCCTAAGACTAGCAAACAAAAAGTGAATTATTACATTATTGGAATTTTCACCACACTGGAGGGTAAATGAATAATCTTTTTTTTTTTTTGGAGAGGTTTTCACTACAGGGCGCGTGCGCTCGCCAGACAGACAGAGAAAGACATAGAGACAGAAAGCGAGAAATCACCCCCCGGGGGGGATGGTCACGCCGCAATTCCTTCTCCTCCATTCTCTTCTTGGGATCTTGGGCACGCACGCACACGCGCCCGGCGTGAGTTTTAAGCCACCGGGTCCGGGACATGAACCGCGGTCGACTACGTGGGAGTCCAGCGACATAACCATTACGCTAACTGCTGGTTCCCAATGAACAATCTTGATAAGGTTTAAGAACAGAGCAAAACTTCTGACATGCTAGTCTTTACAGTGTATTTTATAAACTACTGTAAAAATCCCAAAGCCACTAAATAAATGTGAATTTTCTCATAACCCTAAAAAACTCGGTACTTTTAGCCCTGTCAACAATAAGTAAGGGTTTTTTTACTCAACTCAATAAACATTTACTGAGTATTTACATTGTACTTAAGCTCTGAGAATAAATAAGGAATGGTTCCACCTTAATAGAACTTACAGTGATGGGGGTGTCTGTAGCTCAGGGGCTAAGTTTGCTACTAGCAAAGAAGTACCAAAACGTCTAAGTGGAAGGTGCTAGAGAGCAAAGATGTGGCCCAGGTGAGAGTCAAGGAAAGGCCTCCATGAGGGTGACTGACACCTGACTTAAACTCCAAAGATTTATAGAAGCTGGTCAGGCCATAAGACACAACATTTCAAGCACAGGAACCAGCACATGAGACTAGAAGAGATGTGCTCCCCTAAGGAACTGAACGTACAGGATGGTGGGGACAGGGCACCACAGGGGAAGGGAGATAAAAGGAGGAAAGGAAGGGCAGAGGCCAGGAGGCCTTAAGAACCATAGTTAGGAGGTCTGGTGATAATCCTATAGGTAACGGGAGGGACAGAGAAAGATGTGAGGTGAGGTGTGAGACCTAAATAGATGCACATCTTCAAAGAACAGCCTGGTTCAAGTCTGAAGAATGGCGGACCCCCGGGAGAAGTGGATGACTTCACAGGGAGAACTTACACAACTGGGAGTAACAGGACACATGAAATAAATGACCACAGTGACCTGGCTGCCTGAGGTGT